AAAATATGACTAAACAGGTTTAGTTCGTCATCTTTATTTACATTTTTGAAGTGGTACACTTATTTCAATAATTAACTGAATTAGAAAAAAATTATGACACTAGTCTTCGACTGTAGTAGATAATTAGCCTCTAGACCGTTCAAAAAATAGTGGTGTTAAGTTATTGTATAACAAATAAATTCCATAAATAACACATAAAAAAAAACGAAATTATTGCCCAGGATATGTTAACAAATTTTGATGTTTTCAAATGTCCAGATTACGCATTCTTTCATGAGTATTGAATGTGCTTTAAAAATTTTGTAAGCTTGTAAGCAATAAAAAAAAAGCGTTAACTTCGTTTGCACCGAAGCTATACTACCCTTCACAAATACAAAGGCTCCTTACAAGAGCTTGGCTCCGATTGCTCAATTTGTATGGCAGCTATATGATAATGATCTGATCTGAATAATTTTTGCGAAGAATACATTGTTGCCTTAAACAATAACTCATGCCAAATTTCGTGAAGATATAACGTCAAATGAAAGAGTTTTCCATACGAGCACTTGATTCCGATCGTTCAGTTTGTATGGCAGCTATATGCTATAGTCATCCGATCTATACAATTTCTTCGGATATTGCATTATTGCCCTAAGTAATAATCCATGCCAAATTTCGTGAAGATACCGCGTCAAATAAAAAAATTCCCATACAAGCACTTGATTCCGATTGTTCAGTTTGTAAGGCAGCTATATGCTATAGTGGTCCAATATCGGCCGTTCCAAATGAGTAGCTTCTTAATAAGAAAAAAGCAGGTGCAAAATTTCAAATCGATAGCTTAAAAACTATGATATATACAGACAGACGGACATGGCTAAATCAACTCAGACAAGTTCGCGTATATTTAGACAGACGAATATGGCTAAAACGACTCAGCTCGTCACGCGGATCATTTATGTATGTATATATTTTATAGGGTTTCCGATGTTTCCTTCTTGGTGTTACAAACTTCGTGGCAAACTTATCATACACTGTTCAGGGTATAATTATGCGGAAGGCTTAAAGGTTTGAATAAAAATCAGGCGTGGTGATATTTAGACTTACAGTCTACAAATTGTCCTGATTTATTTCCATGATAATCTCGCTTTTGTTTCATAATTAATTCGCTTGTTCTCAGAAACAATGTTGTCGCCCAATTTACAGAAATCGGTACAGCCTACCAGTAAAAATAAATGTGAGGGTAAAAAATCTACGCCAAATTTATTTTTCTCAAAATGGACTAAGTGTTTTAATACGTAATCAAGTTAGGAATTATAAATCAATTTGTCAAACCGTTGAGGTGGAGGGATATTAATTTAATTACATTTTTAGAAAATTTCCGTAGCTTAGTATAATTATAAATTAAAATCTGGAATACTTGATGATCGTCAAATATAGCAATTAATGAAAAATACAGATTTTATCAAAGATATGACTGTTCTGGAAAGTGAATCTTGGAAAAGTTTCGTGTTGATACAAAGTTCAAAATTTCTTAGCTAACCATATAAATTTTGAAAAAATCGTTCAAAATATGCGAAACATTTTGAGATTCTGGGAGCAAATGTGAGTATCAATTTAGATTATTTCCGCAATTTTAGAAATTATAGTGAGTAACAGAGAGAGCGGTTCCACCAGGATATAAAGGTTATGGAAAAAAGTTTCGAGGTTAATGGAATCGTGATATGATGGCAGATTACTGCTGGTTATTAAAAAGAAATTGCCAACTGAAAAATTATAAACAAAATGCTCATAAAAGGAGTTTTATTGAAGTTTTCACAATTTTCGTTCTGTTAATCTTGATGTATCCTTATTTTCTGATTTTTGTAATGTAAACAATTTAATAATAAACAAGAGCAAATCTTAAAAAATCATTGATAGTTTCATGAATTGTGATACAAATATATCTTATATCGATCCTACATCCAGGGCAACAAAACCAGTGTAATGTTTATTTATTGTGGCACATAGCAAGTAGTTTTTCAATCACTTTATCAAAATAATCATATAAAAAGCTATTTTTTAGCGATACCATAAAATGATTACACGCAATTGTTGTAGAACAAGAAAAGAAAAACGTTAACTTCGTTATAATATCCTTCAGAAATAAAAAAATGTTTCAATACAAAAACTTAATTTTAATCGGTCAGTTTGAATGGCAGCTGTATGTTATAATAATCCGATCTAAACAATTTGTGCGATGACTGTTCCATTTCCTTGGAAAATAATCCATGCCAAATTTTGTAAAGATATCTCGTCAAATAAAGATGGGTTCCGTATAAGAACTTGATTCCGTTCTTTCAGTTTGTATGGCAGCTATAAACTATAGTGCGCTGATATCGGCAACTCCGACAAGTCAGCAGCTTCTTTGGGAGAAAAGGACATGTGCAAAATTTCAGATCGATATCTCAAAAACTGAGCTAGTCCCTCAGTTCCCCTCGCGTATATACAAACAATCGAACGGACATGCCTAAATCGCCTCAGCTTATCACGCTGATAATTTATAAATATATTTGATTGTGTATTCGAATTTTCCTTCAGAGTGTTACAAACTACGTGGTAACTTAATAAACCCCGTTCAGGGGTTCAAAATTATGTGGTTATTTACTGAAATTATTCTTTTGTTGTTTGATAATGTCCATCGATTTAAGTTATATTTCGAAGAAAGACGATAAACCTAAATCTAAATTATTAATTTAATATTAAAGTGATTAAAGATGGATGACGGATTTGACTAGTAGTTTTAGCTTATTATTAAATTTAATATAAATTAGAAATTTACATTGATTGAGCTGAAGAATATTGACGCGGATGAGTATAGTTTCTCTTCAGTATATTGCCATTTGAATTCTTGAATTTTTCTCCCGTTAATTTTTTCAGAACCGAAGAAATGTGCGTTGAGTCAGAACGTGAAATATTGGTTTTCAAAACTTTGCGGTTTTGCTGACTATTAATTTGTTTACTGTTTACTATGTAAAAATCTTTTAATTACAAGGTCTTCCATTTGCTTTGAGAAAATTTAATTTTTATTTGTTTTTTCGCCATAACATATGGAACGCAACCTCAATGAGGCCTCTATCTCAAATTTATTGTTCATATTTTCTTTTCCTTCTTAGGTAGTACTGAGAAGTCAATACTGTAATATTATATAAATATTCATATGAAGATTGTTATTCGAGAATCAATGATTTGTTAACGTGGCTAATGAAATAATTTGGAGACTCAAATATGCAAGTATTTCGGAAACCTTACTGAACAACAAACTATCATCATTTCCAATATCTTCCACTGGAGCATAGTACCCCTTAAGACTATGGTTAGATATAATTGCAGTTCTTTTTTTTTAAAACTGGGTTCCGTGGAAATGTGCAGCAAATACTTCTCAGTATTTTGCAAGTTAAGTGATATTTTTAGTTTCACTGAAATACGATATTTTCGGTCTAAATATCCAGTAGGAAATGTTGCCATATTCTAAATTTCCATTCTTTAAAAATCCTCTGTTTATTTACATATAATTCAGATTATTACACCTAAAGATTAGACCATGTATTAACCATTAAGAACATTCAACTAACTGATGTTTTTCCACATTTTTTTTTATTTGTTTACCAAAACTTTTATTGAATGCATGCACTGGTTATAATGAAACTAATGCAAAGATGTGGTGCACATTATTTAGTTGTAATCTGCCACTTACAAAGAATTTAGTTTTTAATTTATAAATATTACTTTTAATTCCAACAATAAAACGTTCGTTGTTCATCGCTTTTCTTTTGGAAAACTGAGCGTGTACTCTTCAAATTCAGATAACTTACGCGTTCCGGTCATCTTTGTCAAAGTCCGCTGCCAGCTAGCCTCCATTAAGCTTAGCACAATATTCTGCTCTTATTTATTGATAGTTTTTGACCTTAAACCAATAAATATTTTTTAACTTACATTTTATAAAAATTCGTTAAATGTTTCAAACACGTTTCTTGAATTTTGTTGTTGCAAATGCTAGTAACGACTCAACTTGTTTATGGACTTGGGTACGTTTAGTTTAAAATTACAATACAAGTTGGACTGTTCGTATCATTTATGACGTAGGGCATTGCAATATTGTTTCTATCATTCTTAAACTGTATCATTATCAATTGACAACACAAATAGCATGAAAGAAGGTTGGAAATAATGTTGTATGAAGTAAGTTGTGGTCCTAAAGATTTATCTAGTGCTCATTCATAATAATTCAATTGTTTTACTTTGCAACAATCACTCAAGTCAGATATTCTTTTACCCACCCAGGCTGAATTAAAATATTGATCAGCTGCTGTTATTTTCTGACTACCGCAATATTACCGGTTCGATAATAATAATATTTTAAGCATATATGTATGTATGTAAATGTGGTTTCGTATGGATTTTGGACTACTACTACTTGGATACTAAAATATTATGTTTATGTAGCAAAAAGCATGTATTATATTTTGAGCACTTTCTTGAATAAAGTCTTAGTAGTTTTCCAACTCCTTCGTCTTATATTATAATATAAATTACAATGCTTTAATGACCCTAATACACGATTACAAATTACCTAGCAGGATAATAGTTACTGCCAAAGTCGGTATAAAGTGTAAAGAAATAAGTCTATTTTTTGTTTATTATTTTTCATATGAATTTCTAAATGAGCTATATAATTATATGTGTTGTAATTTTGTATATAGAATTTGTTACGGAATGTCCTTGCAGTAAACCTTTGCTAATAATATACTAATATTTGTAGTTACTTTTTTTCGGGGTTTAATGTTGTCAAACATCTCTGCATAAAAAACGAACCTTAAATCTCATCTCCCTAACGCTTATGTTTTAAATATGTCCAACTTGTACCGCACTAAACTACATGAAATGGACACAATACTCTTCACAAACGCTATATGTTCGTTGTTGAATGCAAAGTATGCAAAATTATCCTCATTTTTTGCTTAAATTATTATAAATTACTATAGCTGAACGACACCACTAGTCCTGACAGCCCATCCATTGAATTTATTCCCGAAACAAATGAGCCTTTTTCATCTTACCAAAATCAGTCAAATTCATCGCGACTCACATCTCCGGAAAATGAAGGTATATCGATGAATGTTGTGTCGAAAAGTCCACTTCGTGAGGAAACAACCGTAGCGCCAAAAGAATTGCAGGACAGAAGAAAGTCGATGTCATGGAAAACTTTTAATCTTAAACGTCAATTATCTAAAGTCAATATGAAAATTGGAATCAATGTGAATACAGAAATCGATTCCTTGAAAAACAATTCAGTGTTTTACATGCAAAAAGAATCATCGCCAATTGAAAGTAGTGGTGAAAGTGTATCGCCAAAAGACAAAAACATTAGAAGTGAGAGTAAAGAATATACCTGTGATTTTGGCAGCGAAGCTGATTCCGAACAACGTGATTGTGATGTTCAACAAATAAGTACTTTCGCTACAAAAAGTGACATTCATACAAATTCACATCCAAATGATGTTGCGACAGATGACGGTGATATTTTTGACATTACAAATGAATTTCAAACAAACATGAAAAAAGTCGAGTTCGAAAAAGAGACAACTGAGAATTCCCAAACTTCACGACCTAGTGACTTGCCTCTCTGTGCGACAGGTGATACTAATCAGGGAGATACCATGTGCGCTAAAACAGCGCGACAAAATTTTAAAGAGAAGCAAAGGGATCAGCGTCTACTATCAGTTCCGAATATTAAATATCAAACCAGAGATATTCGAGCAAGGACAAATAAAATTGATTCCTCGCCGTCTCTAAGCGGAAATGTTTCAAAAAAGATATGTAAGTACTTTGCTACCTAAGAAAACCAAACAACACAATTGTACATTTTCACATCTTGAAAATATAAGATTTGTATGTATGTATATGTAAATAGTAATAAGCTTAAGTAATCTACAGGATTTTAAAAATTTGTTACCCAAACTCAATTAAAATAAATACTTGAATTTTGGCATATTTTGAAATAAAAAATATAGTGTCGTCCCAGTACTTAAGCTTGATCTCTAAGATGCGTGCGCCTTAGCACATGAGTGGTTTGAATTGCAATTTTTGTTTCTGCTCCAACAATGAAAAATTAATTTTGGTGGTTGAAACATTTTATTGATTTTCTAAGTAGTTTCTATGTCAATCAATATACCAATTGAGAAAATTCGAAATAACCGATTAATTTCATGTTTCGGTCGGCCTAAAATGATATTGTCAGTGTTTGAATTGTCTTGGTGAAGGATCATTAATTTTTTTTTTGTTCACACATAATTGACAGGTTAAACGTTCCTACAATTTATACGAATAAAAATAGACAATATTTTGATTAAACGTGCTTCGCTAATAAACAGCCGATGGCCTGTTCTTGGGTTTGTTGTTTAACGTCGTCAATACGTCGGGGAACATTTATAATAATGTATGTATTTTGAAATCAAAGGGAGCCCTAGAATCTACGTACATATTGTTGTCAAAACCGTTACTTCAAATTGCTTAACCTTAGTAGCGCATATCATGAAGAATGTGCGGCCGAAACGTATACAGTAATTGAGGTAAACGCAAGCTACAAACATTAATATTTAACTGATGCTTCCATTAGGAGAGGGCGTACGCTGTAATCGTCGTGTTTGATGTATTTCGATTATTAAATTGCCAACAAAATGGGTTTAAAATACACAAAAGCATTGTTATTTTTATCTTCTGGGGGTTTACAATAGTATTTGTAAGCTTGGGGACATAAATTTGTTTTACTGTATAATAGCCGGAAATTTAATTACTTAAGGGTCGAGTAGGGTTAATTCGTGTGAAAAAAAGTCTATTTTTATGATATTTTTTTGATGAAATAGTTAAAATCTATTTTGAAAAAACGAATGGTACATTATAGTAGGACAAAGGAAGAATATTATGTTAAATTTTCATGGCGAAATATTAAAAAATGCGGTAATGGCTGCAATAACTCTGGAGCGTCTCCGAAAGATGTTGAATTGCGGCGCCCCTCATAAATTGGTGCTGGATCGTCCGGATTTAAAATCTCAATATTCATTCGTTAGACAATAGTTTTTCCTAGATAAGACCGAAAGGGTTTTTGAAATTTAAATTTATAATTTTTTATAGAACCTTGAAGGAAAATATCAGTTGCGAGGAAACCGCTTTAGTGTTTTGAAATCTGATTTTAAAAAAGGGTTCTTAAGTTTCGAAAAACGCTTTGATTAAAAGTATGTATCTCTCATATAATAAAGGTTAATGTTGTCAATTACCCATAAAAATAATAATAAACCGACCAAAGTTCATTTGCGTTACAACAAAAAGCGATTTCGCAAGTTCCCCAAAAGAAAAATGACACAGTACTCGTAGGAGTTTATTATGAGCAAGTGGATTTAATATAATTATGAATAAGGTATACAAGAAAATATATAGGCACTGGGGTCCACATATTCAGTACCTAGGGGCTTGAACAGTTTCGGTATAGACAATTTTTGGTGCCAAGGAGGCATACTTTAAACGTATTATTCACGCAAAGTTTTACCACGAAATAATCATTGTTGCTTGATTCGCATACTGGATAGTGAAAAAATCAGATGAAATTTAAAATGGTGTTATATGGGAAATAAGCGTGGTTGTAATCCGATTTCGCCCATTTTCGCACTATAACATAGAAATACGAAAATAATGTTATGTACCGAATTTGGTTGAAATCGGTTAAGCAGATCCCAAGATATGGGCTTTCACCTAAAAGTGGGCGGTGCCACGCCCGCCGACTAATTTTAAACGCGGTTCCTATAAAGTCTAGTGCTTGATTTATCGCGCTTTTAGTAGTTTTTAACAGTACCGTTATATGGGGAGTGGCGGGGTTGTCAGCCGATTTCACCCATTTTTACACTGTAGGTAGAGGTGCTAAAAACATTTATCGATTACTCCCATCTGCAATACCAACCGTCTTACGGTACCAAGAAATATGTGTACCAAGTTCATAAAGATATCTCAATTTTTACTCAAGTTACAGCTTGCACAGACGAACGGACGTCTCTTCATCCTGATCATTTATATATACATAACCCTATATCTAACTCGATTAGTTTTAAGTGATACAAAAAACCGTTAGGTGAACAAAACTATTTTACTTTGTAATTATGTATAATTAGATTTGATATAGTGTTACTTAATAAGAAAAAATATCTTTTATGAAGTTTTAATCGTTCAGTTTGTATGAACAATAATCCGTGCCAATTTTCGTTCAATTAATAAAGGCTTGGTTAAATTTTTTGGTACTTTATTACAATATTTCTTATTACCTTCTACCTGAGGATTTGTAAATGAAGTTTTTATGGTTAAAAAATACTTTAATTTGAGAAGAATTAATTTTTAAAACCTTTATTGGGTAAAATATTTGTAAAAATAATAAAATTTATAAATTTAAATGCAATTAAAACCAACAGAGTCAACACTGAGTATTCCCGGATTAAAATACATTTAAATTGGACGTGGGAGAAAACTTTTGTCATTCTTGTATGCCATAGTCTGTCCACCATTTTTTCTGTTTATGAATTATGGCATGTTTCCGGTCGAGCTTGTATAATATTTCAAAAAATATGGTGCGCATATTAAAAAATTAATATTTTAACAAATTTTCATTTGCTCCTGGCCAAAATTATAGTTCTTTCAAACATTTTCCATTTTTTGCAATTTCTTTTACTTCTTAGCGAACGACACAATCAATGCCGAAGTATTCGAACGAAAATGAGTTTCCTCAATTTTGGTATAATTTTATGAAAGTTGATTTTTTAACTAGTCTTTGCAGTTTTTTTTTGTGCCTAAGTTCAAAAAAAATGTAAAAATATTTAAGTCGAATGCTTTTACAACAATTGCTTAATTAGTAAATGAAGCTCATAATACATACATAATGTGATTAAATGTAATTTAGACAGTAGTGTTATTCGCACTTACCTTCACACCAGCATACATCTGCATACAATTCTAACGCTACATAGAGAAACTTTTTCTAATCTGAAACTCTTCTGCTTTCTCTTTCTGGACTAGGATTCTGATGCAGATCAGTTCAACTGTCTTTATGTCATTGTGTGGAGGCTGTTTGGTAATTGATATATTTTTTTCTAATTTTAGAAGATTAGCGCTAATTGAATGGTCTATAAACAAAATACCTTATGCACAATGCAAAGATTTATTGTATAAGAATTTGTTAATTTCGTAGTTGTCAATTCACTTTAATACTCGTAGAAATGCAAACACCTTTTAGCAGATGTATTATTACATACGTTTTCCACATATCCCGCTTTAAACCCATACAAATCCGTCTTTTGTTTTGCCATATTCTTAAAGGATATGTGTGTATGTGTTTATGTATGTATGTATGTATATAAATGTTACGTTGCACTCTCCTTGAAACGCGGTAAGAGAAATGACAACCAACTTAAAATATTCATATTGTGTTGGAATCAACACAGGAAATAGATAAAACAAGAACATTTTTAAAATAAAAATATTTATTCTCAATATGACTTGATATAACAGAAATATACAGGGACGATTTCAACCTGGAGCGTTTTCGGAAATAATTATTTTTATTAACGCCTAATTTTATTTACTTTTGTAATATTAAAACATACTAATTATATAATTTATAATTAATATACTGCTTGTTTAGAAATATACTTCTATCATTTTACGCATTTACTCAATTCTATTCGAATGCAAACTACAATAACACCAATTTGGATTTATTAAATAAAAAAATTATTTTTAAACACACATGTAAAATATATTTATCCAAAAATATATCCATACGAAATATATCGAAGAAATAAAAAGATTTTAAAATCAAAGAGCTCTTAACTAGTTAAAAAACTATGCGTAACTTAACTCCTTCAAGTTTTTAATATTAGTAGTATATGGCTGAGCTTAGTAACTTCACGTAATTTCTTTTTTTAATAACATTATTTTATGGGCGATATCTATGGTAGAGTGATGTTCACATGAAAATCATTGAAGCTCATTAACAGAATAAAAAAAAAACAATAAATATGGTAGGTTGCAATTTTATTTATGTGGTTATTCCGTAATTTCTAATTGACCTTGCACTTCTGGTGATCAAATTATTAAGGAAATATCCAGAAATATGCATGTAAAGTCCTGTTATTTAAAAAAATAATTCCGTGTAAAGTAGAAATGAAAAGAAAGTATAACAATACTGGCTTCATTCGCCAGTGACCGCCAAAGTACAAATTATTAATATGAATTGTGTAGCGTATTGCCACATACCTAGTGACACTTGGGGACCTATCCTCCCGATAGTAGAAGCTACTAAGCTACCCGAAGCGTTCTAATAGAATATAGACCGCTAAGCTTATCAGTGAAAGAGCAATACAATGGTTTCGGGTCCATGGAATTGGGATAATAGGGAGATCGGTTCAGTTGTAGGAACTTAATCACATGTAAAATCTAAAAAAGCTGAACATAGAGCAATCTTAACGATTTATGGGATGCAGTTAATAATGAATAAACGAAATGTTGTAGAATTCTTGTCAAATCATTGCTACAAATTGCGATAGCAGGAATAGTAGTAGTAGCTAATTCTTAAATTAATACATAAACAATTTATGAGTGATCGTTAACCTAGGGCTTTACCTTATTCAGCAACTCAGTAGATTTAATAAAATTCCTGGGCATTCGCATACTCTTTATTCCGCCCATTATACTTATCTAAGATTCTGAAAGAGATATGAGTAAAAACACGTCAAGTGGACCCCCCATTTTCCACTTGATCATCGAATTTGAATGTAAGT